ATATATATATATATATATATATATATGCACTTGCTAAAAAAAACATAAAAATGATTCATAGCTACACAGTAGTGATGTGTGAATCATGAATGAATCGTTCAATACTCGAGAATCACTTTACTGACTCGTGAGCAGTGTTGGGTAAGTTACTTTAAATTAGTAACTTAGTTACATTACTAGTTACTCCTATCAAAAGTAACTCAGTTACTTCAAGTTACTCGTTACTTTCAAAGTAACTAGTTACTAGGGAAAGTAACTTTGGTTTTACCCAGAATTCTCTTATTAATGTGTTGCTTCCCTAACTGGATACCCAGCAAGGATGCCAGTCTTCTAGCTTGCTTACATGTTAGCAGTATCCTGCCACAAGTACACTGTGCCACCTAATGGCCTGAACCTAAAATGGTTAAAATGGCAGTGTAGTAGTGCGAGTACAAGTTAATGATGAAATGAATGAAACTAAATTAGCAAACTAATTAACAAATTTGTTTTATGTGTCACTTTTTTATCTGTGTGTTTTAATCTATTTCTATTGTTTCAACCCTCTACAAATGCAAACACATCATTCTGGGGTTGTTACAGCAGTGTTATAAATCTAATCATTGTACGTAGTATCACTAGGAAGAAGCAGTGGATCACAAAACACAACATACAGTGTGTTGAAACTTTTGAAAGATATTTATTTTTTCCATTTGAATGGACAGAAAGTATGCTTTTAGCAGTGCCAACATTAAACTGTACCTCAGACAATTTAGGACCTGTAGGTATCAAAGTGCAAAAACATGTAGTGCAAAAAATCATTTAACATAAACACGGTGAGGTTTGTCCATTCTTTGTAAAGTTAACTGAACTGAACTTTGTAAACTTAACTGCTGAATTGCACCAACTGGAGACCTCATGTTCAGTAATAAAAGTATTTTTCAGAGAAAGAGAAGAGAAATAAAATTAATTATAAGTATTTTCAGCCCCACAAACAGAAATAAAATAAATAATAAGTATTTTCAGCTTCATAAACAGTCAAACCAAAATAATATTACCTCCATACAGGCCATGTAGATAAATAAAATATAATGGTATTTTAAGTGCTTCAGAAGCCCAAGTTTCACTTGGAAATAACCCTACTTTACCTTGTAGAGCACTACTGAAGGCAACACATCATCATCATATGAGCACTACTCAACTTTGGTTCCACCAAACCAACAATTGTACCTCAAGAGGAGAAGCTTCTCAAACTTATGATCAGACAACTTGTTCCTCTTTGGAGTGAGAATCAGGTTTCCCAGGCTGAAAAGCCTTTCAACTGGGGCGCTTGAAGGAGTAGCTGCATTAAGTTTAAGAGAGAGTTTCTTCATCATCGGGAAATGATTCAGAGAGTCTAACCCTGTTGCTCCTGATTTGAGGTACTCGGCTACCTCACCTTCAGCAGTGGCATATATGTCCTCATTCTCTTCAAAGGAGAAGAACTCATCCTCTTTGCTAGAACCCGGGTGCTGTGTTGTGTTGGTGGCGCTGGTACCTGGTTGTAGCTGATCTTGCTCAGGGAGAAGTTTTCGACACTCTACCAGCAGACGTGCCTTTGCGAGGTCCTTCCGCGACTGGTCATGTAGCCAACGAAGCTTAAATTTTGGTAGTGTCACAGCAGCCAGCAAAGCATCTTCACTTCCAAGGACATGTGCAAACCTTGTTTTGACTGCCTGTAATAACGACACAGTAGAAGTGCAAAAAACATTTTTGCATGAGAAAGTATACATTGTTTCAACATTAAATTAATTAAACATTAACAGCATGCTGCAGTTTTATATAGAATGTATTTTAATTTGTAAATAGTGTGTATTTTACTACATTGTATTTATTTTATTTATTTATTGGGGTTAAGTATCTGTAACTGTAACAGCATTCACTTGCATGTGACACAACAGCACAGCACAATATAAAAAGCAATTGAGTAATACATTTCATTAAAGATAAACACAAATAAAAATATCATCTCTTACCTGGACAACTGTATCTGGTAGCCCAACAAGAATTTGCAGACCATTTTTTATAGCCAGAGTCTTGGTCATCAGCGATTCCAGTGTGGGTAGGAGTGTGCCATAAAAACAATGGTCTTCTCCTTGAAGAATGTCCAGTGCCACAGTAAGTGGTTTCATGACTGCACAGTACTCTCTGATACACTGATGCTCCCTCTCATTGAAACATTTCAACTGTAATGTGGATGAGATTGTGTTCAGCTCCACCAAAGGTATCTTTGAAATTCTCTCCAGAGCATAATAGAACGAGTTCCACCTTGTTGTGCAAGGTACTAGTAGTTTCTTTGCAATAATGTCTTCCACAATCTCAGCAGCCACTGTGGAACGACTGGCCTTGTTCCACAGCCCTGCACATTTTGTGGTGGCACTTCTGTAGATGGTTTTTGTTGCAGCTTCAGACAGTAGCCACTTCTCCACATCAGTGCAAGAGATAAGATTCATTGTGTGCGATGCACATCTCTGATGTGGTGGTAAAGAAATTGCATCATCAGCATCATCAGCACCATTCTGCAGCACATCCCCAATCGAAACAAAAGTCTCACGTTTCATGCTTTGTGCATTTATCCAATGCGCGGTCACACCAAGAAAACTTTTATTATGCACAGTCCAAATGTCTGCTGTTGTGGAGATGTATTCTACCATGTCAAGTGTGTTTTTGAGCTCTGACTCCATGTTGGCATATTCTTGGTCTAGGAAACTGGAAAATGTCTTTCTGCATGGTGCCTTCCCAGCTCTCCCTCGCACAGGTATATGACTAATCAGTTGTCTGAAAGCATGGGACTCAACCGTTGAGATGGGTTTCATGTCTTCCACAACATACCTGGCAATCAGCCTGTGTAGCTGGGGCTGGGTGAT